AGTTGTAATTAAGAAAATTGCTAAGAGTCATTAAAGATTCTGGAAATTCTTAAGTATTTTGAGACATACTGTGTTCTGACTCAAGTATTCTGTCACTGTTTTCTGTTAAAATATTGATATGGAGTAAACAAAATTTAAATATTAGCGTCATATGTCATTTACAGGAAGTTATTGGTACAATACAAACTGGCAATTGTATTCACTTTTCTAACAAAATAAAGTAGTCTTAACCGTACTCTCAACTGGGTCGTTTCATTTGTAAGTTTTAATAGGTTATAGTGACTCAGACCATTTTTTCCGTTGGTAAATAGATAACCGTTGTATACTAGTAAGTGTTAAGGTTCACAATAGCAGTGAATTACATGTCTACGGTGCAAAGTTATGAAGCCGCGAAAATTACAATGATTGGGTTTTGCAGTGCAAAATTATCTTGTTCCAGAAGGTTTGTCCACGTGTTTGGACGGAACTGAAACCGAAGGAGATAAACAAGAAACATCTAAAGCCGAGTTAGTTCTTTTGCTTGATCCATCGTTATATATACATATAAAACAAGCAAAAACCGCTAAATAAATTTTTGACGCTTTAAAAAAAGTTGTTGAGATTGTTATTTCTATCGATTCAATCAAAACAAAAGTATTGGACATGGAAAGTGATGTTGGTAAGTGCGTTTGCAAGTGGTACTAGTAATCGAACCAATCACAACAGACAGTTTGAAAATCACAGAAGTGATGACAGATAAATAACAACAGAGACAGAGATCTGTCGAAAGTTAGATGTTATCGTTGTAAATAAACCGGTTACTATGAAAATGAATGTCGGAAGGTTAAAACATCTTAAAAACATGCGTTTAGTGCCGCTCTTCTCAATGGATACTTTAAAAAAACTGAATTCACAAATGAGGGTTTCAGTTGTTAAAAAGGCGTGGCATCAAAGATGAAATAAAAAACACCAAGTGCTCAACACTACTAGTTTAAAGTGTCAGTTGTGTTAGATTTTAAAGCATGCGTCGATAGATAAAATAATATACACATTACCAATGTCATTGCGACTTTACTCTGTTTTACTTTATTTTTGATAATTCGCATTTTTAACAGTTGGTACCTAATCCTAATGTCTGACCATTTTTCTCAGCCAACCTTATATCAATCTCAAATTAAACATATTTGCGGCTACTTTTTGAGCGGTGACTATTATCAATGTATTCTCTTAATTTTAAATGTATGTAAAAATGTGAGATTGATAAAATACGTTAAAGTTTAAGTACAATAGTGAAATAAAATTACATATCGTGCAACACTAATAGCTAGTTTTAATGAAAGAGAATATATTAGACTATTGAGAAAATTTTGCGCACTTAATAAGACATTCTTCTTTAAGGTTGCTTTTTTACTTTCTATAAAATTAGGTTTGGATATTACTCATTTAGATGTTAAAACAGCATTTCTAAATGGTCATTTGAAAGAGAAAATATACAGGCAATCACCAGAAGGTTTTGATTTGGCAGGTAACAAATGTTTAAAATTAAATAAGAGTATGGGCTTAAACACTCTTCAAGGATCTGGAATTATGAAGTAAATAATGTTTTGGAAAATATTAATTATAAGAAATCAAAACATGAACCTTGTATCTATAAAAAAGAGAAAACAATAAAATTATGGTTGTAGAAGTATAAATGATTTTTGTGTGTTTTCAAATCATAAAAGTGAAACAAGTAGACTAAAAAGTAAATTTGTTATTAAAGATTTTATGTTTAAAACTCCAATTGAACCAAAATTATCTTTAACAATTGATGATAGCCAAAAAAAAACGTCAAAAAAATGTCAAACTTAAAAGACGCTTTTTGAAGTTCCTTACAAATTTTTTGAGATTTAATCAGTATTAAATACAGTTCCGTAGTAGTTTTCATAGAAATTAGACGAGCAATAATTTACAATTAATATTGTGCTTTAAATTGTGAAATTTGTGGCGTTGGCTAACAACAATATCGCTTATTGAACCACCTACCGTATGAGTGTCAATAGCGGGGGGAGACCCCCTGACCCCAAAAAACCCTCAAAACCAGGTATATCTGGAAACATATTCGATAATCAAAGTGATGCCGAAATGGATCTTTCTGTAAGTACTCCAACACCAATAAATTTGATGAATAATGCAAATACAACCCTTCTGAATGAAACACAACAAAAAGTAACAAAACAGGTAAGACAAGCATTTTTATTTAATAGTAATGATCTAGGCCCATATCATGTATATATCGAGAATAGCTCTATGGAGTTTAAAGGTAAATTAAATCCTCAAAAGATTGGTGAAATTATTTTGTCTAACTTTCCTGAAGCAGACAATATGATTTCAAGTATAGACGCCATTGGCCGAAATAGAATTAGAGTCAAATGCAAAGATTATAAAACTGCTAATAACCTCATTAAAAACAAAACTCTAGAAATATTTCGTTTAAATAATTTAGATTTGTATATTCCAAAATTTATTTTACACAGACAAGGAGTTATTAGGGATATAGACGCAGATTTATCGGAAGAGTATATTAAAAATAGAATTAAACAGTATGATAGTCATTGCATATTTGAAATTGCAAATGTTAAAAGAATTACGCGTAAAGTAGAAAAAAATGTTAATGAGGAAAAAATTGTCGAATATGTCCCTACTAAGTCTTGTATTGTGACCTTTAAATCGCAAAATTTACCAAAATATATAGTAATCAATAAGGTTATTAAAGAAGTTGAAATATATAAACAGAAAGTTTTGTTATGCTTTAACTGTCTTAGATACGGCCACTTGGGAAATCAATGTAGGAGTCAGCCAAGATGTAACAGATGCCAAGAAACGCATAATTCAAAAGATTGTACAAAAGTTGATTTCGAACACGTATGTTTTAGTTGTAAGGGGAAACATTTGACCACAAATCTAAGCGCATGCCCAGAATTCTCACGACAAAAGTTAATAAAAGAGACGATGGGTTTAACAAACATTAATTTTTACGATGCAAATAAACAAGTGCCTAAAAATTCATATGCTAGTATTCTTAGGACCAATACAGTCAACAATGATACAAATTTTCCACAAAATTCACAACCTTCTACTTCCTCCCAGGGAAATAATTTTGCTAAATTTATATTTAATCCTCACACAAACACCAGTAGGCCAAATAAAAGGCAGAAACCAA